TATTATTATTATTATTATTATTATTATTATTATTATTATTATTATTATTATTATCATTTTCTTTTCTTGGAATTGTTACTAATTTATTGATATTGTATAGACTGTCGTATTTTTTATTTTGCTCTTTAATTTTTGTGTATTTCTATGTACTCGTGCTAACTTTGTAATTGGCCTCTGTGCTGTTAAGTTTGCACATAAATAAACATGAATTGAATTGAATTGAATTATCCAAGGTTGAACGCGCCTCAGTAGTTTGGAATTCCATTACGTCAACTGACGCAAAAGAAAAAACTCAAACCCATTCAGCAGAAGTTTGCGGCTCTCTGTTTTAAACGTTTTTGCCTCAAGTTGATTACTGTTACGATTTTGCTTTAGAACAACTGAAATTGCACGCCTTGCATAAGAGGAGATATCTCCTTAGTGCACTCTTCCTTATTCAAGTTTATCGTGGTTCTGTACTTTGTCCTTCTTCTTTGGACACTGTTGTCCTTCGGGTCCCTGTTCGATATATCCGAGACTTTCCTATGTTCAATGTCTGTTCGGTTAGTAAAAATTGCCCCTCTGCTAGACGCGCTTCANAATCAGCCCGTCCCAAGGTCGCTACCTACACACGGAACAAACAAACACAGAATAGACGCACGCAGACAACAACGCCTTGAGTTGGATTCGAACCCACAATCCCAGTGTTCGAGCGAACAAAGACAGTTCATGCCTTAGACCGCGCGGCCACTCTGATGGCATCTAAACTGGATGGAAGACAGAATTATTTTTTTTTTATTTAAAATTTGATAAGTTCCTGCAAAACTCTCTTCCTGCAGTTTATATTATTTTTGATGTTTATCTGTTATTATTATTATTATTATTATTATCATCATCATCATCATCATCATCATCTACGTCGTAATCGATTTAGATATTCAAAATATTATTCAACTCTCAGAAAATTAAAAGAACTTCAATAATTAATTCTAGAGGTTTCATAATTTCTAAGATTCTTATCTTCAACGCGATCTTTGATTTGTATAAACCCATTCCGTAATCGCATGTGGCCTTATATAGGGCAAGAATAAGTAATAAATATTTTGTGAGGTCTGAGGTTTTCACGGCGGTGACCATGAAGAACGCCGTCTTCTGGGGTGTGGGCCCGTGTATGTCTTGTGGCCACCTGCTCACGCTGGTTCCTCATTCGCTGATTTTTCTACCCTGAAGATGGAGACGATACGTTCCTCAGAAACGTCGGTTTACACAAGACCTACACGACGCCATATCCCAGAAAAAGACATTATTCAATAAATTACTTTGTTGCACAGTTTATAACTCAAGGAGAGACACATACATGGACACAGAACTTAATCTATCACCGAATAAAACACCCACTTTCAACAATGTCGGTTCCTTAATCTATATACAGTACAGTTCAATAAACAAAGATCACGTCCACATGAGAAATTTTGATAATTTTTTTTAAATATCGTAACTTTTATCATACTAATATTTTAAGTTAAGCATTAGTTGTAAATTACTTTAAAAGAATCTCGCGAATACGAACTTGTAATTTTAATTAAGGCCTATGAAATGCTACGGCCATTTATGTTATGATACCTTATGTTCTGGAAAGTTAATACCAAAATATTTCAGAAATATACTGCCACAATAGTGCCCATCCACCTCCTTTCTATTCCATTATTAATTATGCATCCAATATTTTATACTCGCCAGATGAGCTACTGGCAGCGTCGTTAAATAAACCATAAATATATATAGATAAATTATATTCCAATTGCTAACTGTAATTTCGGGATATTCTGTACTTTACTTTGAATCGTGCATACTACAGTCAATTGTAAGACAAACTCGTAAAATTAATTTAAATGTATCATTCTCCCGGCAAGTTTTGACGTATATAATATCATCTTCAGGGGTTCATGCTTAGTAATAAAGAAGGAAATAGCTCAAGGCTATTTTTCGTGATTGTACATAATTGTAAATATTTTCATAAAAGAGTTAAAATGACATGACATACTA